AAAAAAAAAAAAAAAAAAAAAAAAAAAAAAGCCCAGGATGATTGACAGAGGGTTGCAAGGAGAAGACAGAAGTTGGCACAGAAGCTAGCGAGGTCATTCAGCTTGTTCTGGGTTTGCAGAAAGATGAGAAGGCGGTGGCTGTGTGAGTAGTTAGCAGGTCAGAAGATGCCACATGGAACTTGCTTATTTATTTATTTGTTGAAGAAAGGGTCTCTCTATATAATAGTTCAGGCTTCCCTGGACCTCACTACAAAGCCTAGGCTGACCTCAAACTCACAGCAATCCTGCTGCCTCAGCCTGCCTGGTGCAGGGATGAAAGGCAAGCACCACCACACCTGGCTGCTGAGTTTTCAGAAACTAAAATACCCCATATTCTGTCACTCCAACATCGCAGAGACACACACACAGCCCTACAGACACAAGCATGTACAGAAACGATTTCCCACAGGACCCTCAGTGTGGGTAGCCAGGGAAGCCAAGCCAGACTCCATGCCCTGCCTTTTGGGGAGGGAGGCAGGGGCACTGAAAGAGAATCCCCATAATTATCCATATTGTTCTTTTATGGCTGTTCTGCATAGGTTAATTCAAAGTGCATAAAATTCTACTAAAGCTCGTGATGTTGGAGCATACCTCTATGAAGGCCCAACTTCTTGGGAGGCTAAGACAGGAGGGTCACTGGATTCAGGAGTCCAAACCAGCCCAGGCAACATATGGAGACTGTGGCTCAAGCAAAAGTGGGGGAGATACATAAGAGGGAACAAAAAAAAAAACTATACTTGTTAAAAAAATTAAGTGTATTATAATTGGCTCATCTCGAAGGTGACACCATCAAGGCACAGAGATGGGCTAAGCATTCGCGAAGAACCACAGTGCTGGATTATCAGGCTTTGTCTCCTTCACACCAGCGTGGTATCTGGGAGCCTAGAACTGCGGCGCACAGTGAGCACTCCGTAAATGTTTGTCGATCCGGGGATGTAGCTCAGTGGAGCTCATGCCTGCCTGGCAGGCTCAAGGTCCTGAGTTCAATTCCCGGTAACAAAAAACAAAACAAAGCAATACATGTGAATAAACTCGGGCCTAGGATTTCGCTCCGAGGCGCGGCGCCTGCCTCGCAAGCACGAGGTCCTGAGTTTTATTCCCGATACCGAAAAAACAAAGCTTGTCGAGTGAATGAATGAATCCATACCCCTGCAACTTTTTTATTTTTAATTTTTTTTTGGTATCAGGCATAGAACTTGGGACCTTGCGCTTCCAAAGCAGGGGGTGGCACCACTGAGCTAAATCCGCGGCCCTCCCTCCAACTTTTAATAATTCATCTCTGCATTTCAGGTCAGATAACTAGGGCCCCTGGCTGGACTCACTGGCCTCCTAAATCCACTTCACACTCAGGAAAAATCCAACCCCCTCCGTCCGGTCGTCCCGCCACAGTTCCCAGATTTACAATCCGCTTGCCAGGTTAGGAGCATGGCTTTTCTCTGAGGAGGCGGGACTAAATCCATCTCTCATTTCTATTGGTCATATCCTCTTGTGGGCGGGACCTATCAAAATCGGCTTTCTTAATTTGCTGTTTCCCTGGTGACCCGTGACCCGGAAGCTCTATGAGCTAACATGGCGGCGCCCAGGAGCAAGATAGAGCCGGCCCGGGTTTCGCTGCTGGCCCCTTGAGTAGGTAGGGCGCACGTGGGAAGGTGGACACGAACCTGTGGGGGCTGGGACGTCCCGTTAGGGACCTGGCAGCGCGGCAGGGTGGCCTCAGAGACCCGGCTGCAAGATCGGGGCGCTGTGACCTTTTGGGGTGCGGGGGAAAAGGCTGCCCGCTTTGAGCCTGCTGTCTCGCTGTGGTAAAGGCATAGCTGACTCAGAGGGCAAGGCTTTCGCACGAGATCACACTGAATGGCTGCAGCGAGGAGGGAATTGTGAACTGCTGCTTACAGCCTGGGAGCTGTTGGATTACAGCTGTCTCAGGATGCCGATTATAGGCGTTTTGTAGAAATTTAACCGCTTATTCGCAGTCATTTGACACTTATTGGGCAGTTTAACCGTACACCTGGCGCCGCCCCAACTGCCGGAGATGGCAATGAGAAAGGTAGAAGAAATCTGTCTCCTCAGACAGCCGGACGTTGAATAAGTCAGAAATAAACGGATGGTTTCAGAATACTGATAGTTGCCAAAAATTCATTAACCTGAATGAGAAAGGGTCTTATTTTATTTTATTGAGACATAGTCTCGCTGTATAGTTTAGGCTGGCCTCGAACTCGAGGCAGTCCGCCTGCCTCAGCCTGAAGGAAAGCTTTCAGGCTGCGAAAATGAGGAGGTGGTCAGAGAAGAGCTCTTTGTGTTTTATGGTTTGGTTTTGGTTTTGGCTTTTTTGAGACAGGGTCTCACCATGTAGTTGAGACTGACCCGGAACTCACTAGGTAGCCCAGGCTGGTCTCGAATTCACAGCGATCCTCCTGCCTCAGCCTCCTGAGTGCTGGGGTTACAGGCGTGGCCCACCATGCCTGGCAAGAACTCTCTTTGGAATAGAGACCTGGAGGCCCAGAGCATCTGTGAGGAGATTGAAGGAAAAAAGTTCCAGGCACAGGGAGAAGAAAGTACAAGGGCTCTGAGACCAGAATCGACTTGTTTCAAAAACAGTGTCTCTGGAGCTGTCATTGCATAGCTTGGTTGATATTTCTCAAAGCTCTCTCTGGCCCTGGAGGGAGAGCTGATTGGGGTGCAGAAGCAGGAGGCTGGGTAGATACTCAGGAAAGTGATCGTGGGTGGGGGTGGTAGCCTGCAGATGGAGAGGAATGAGTGGGTGTATTTGGGATGGACTTGGAAGTTGTACTCAGTAGGACTAGTTGAGGGATTGAATGGAGAGGCGAGAAACATGATGGGCCTCAGAACAACTTCTAGAGCCAGGCATGGTGGTGCCACACCTGTCATCCCAGCAGTCTGGGAAGCTGAGGCAGGAGGATCAAAAGTTCAAGCCCATTCTGGGCAACTTAGCAAGACCCTGTCTCAAAAAAAAAAAATTTTTTTTTTCTTTTTAAAGGGCTGGGGAGTAAGTAGATCAGTATGAACGCCCTAGGTTCAATCCACAGTACTGAAAAAAATAAGACATAATAGTAAAAGAAATGACTTCTCCATCGAGGTCTGAACGACTAGAATGATGGCACAGAAGATAAAGTTTAAGCGGGTGTCGATGTGGCACAGGTCAGGTTGGAGACGGCTGGGTATGGGTCATAGCGGCAGCCAGGGTTAGGCTTGGAAACCAGTGTTGGTAGGGTTGGGGGATTTAGCTCAGCGGTTTGGTGGCTTGGAGTTCAATCCCCGGTACCAAAAAAAAAAAAAAATAGAAACCAGTGTTGGGGGCCATCAGCACGCAGCTCATCCTCACTTCTCAGACTAACACGTGGGAGCCACCTGCAGCTGTGGCTAAAATGTGGTTCTGAATCTGCTGGTCTGGGTTGGGACTGAGGTTTTTCAATTCTTATGTGCTCCGGGATGATGCCAGTCCCTGGGACACACTTTGATAAGCAAAAGTTAATTCTTTTTGGTGTTGTTGAGACAGGGTCTCACTATGTAGCCCAGGCTGGCCTTGAATGCACCTTAATCCTCCTGCCTCAGCCTCCCTAAGGCCGGGATTACAAACTCATGTTACCACACCCAGCTATAAAGGTTAATTCTTAATCTTAGCTGCAAAAAAGTCTTCATAGTGTTTTTAATGGTACTGAGGATTGAACCCAGGGCCTTCATACTGGGCTATGTCCCCAGCCCTTTTTTAAATTTTGAGTTCCAGTCTCACTAGGCCACAAAGTTTCATAGGCTGGGTTTGAATTTGGAATCCCCCTTCCTCAGAGGGCTGGGATTGTAAGTGTGCACCACCCATGCTCAGCTGAAAATCTGCATCTTAACAAGATCCTGCTATACAGTATTTGCCGGTGCCTTTTAAATTTTGAAGCCTTGCAGACTTAGAGAAAAAAGTGCATCTTGCTGGTTGGCTGAGAAAGGGAAATCGTGTGTCAGGAAGAAAACCCAGAACAGTAAGGGCTGGTGCTTGCTTGCTTAACACGTGTCCCATACTTCTGAGAAATGAGCAAGAGGAGACCTCAGAGGTAGCCACATGTCCTTCAGAAAGTGTTCAACAGGGCACAGGATGTACAGGGCTGGAGCAAGTCTTCAAGACTTTATGGTAGGCAGTGGTGTTTTATTTGTTTGTTTGTTTTGGGTACCAGGGATCCAACTTGGGACCTTGTGCTTGTCAAAAGTGTTGGCACCACTGAGCTAAATCCCTGGCCCTAGACAGTGGTGTCTTAGATATAAACCAAAAACATAGCACTAAAGAAAAGATTTGGACTTCATCTCATTAAAAAACAAAAAAAAATTTTTTTGGTCCATTAAAATGTTTTAATTTGAGTGGCTGGGGATTTAGCTCAGTGGTTCCACCACCTGCCTCCCAAGTGTAAGGACCTGAGTTTGAGCCCCGATACCAAAAAAAAAAAAAAAATTTAACTTGAAAAAAATTAAAATTCCATCAAAATTATTATTTTAATTGGCTGCAAATGAAAAATGTCAAGAAAGAGAAAAAGACCAAGTGTGGTGGTACACACTTGTCATTCCCAGCACTGAGGAGGCTGAGGCAGGAGGATTGCCACAAGTTCAAGGCCAGCCTGAATTACATATGAAGACCCTGTTTCAAGAAAATAAACAAACAAAAAAGATGTGGCACAGGCATTTGGAGGGTTGAGGTAGATGGATCCTTTGAGTCTAGCCATTGAAGAATAGCCTGGGCAACATAGGAAGACCCTATCTCAAAACTACAAATGAGAGAAAAAGTGAAAAGACAACCAACAGAGTGGAAGAAAATATCAGCAACTCCTAAGAGTCTAGTAGAGTGCCATACCCCTATAATCATACCACCCTGGGAGGCTGAGACAGGAAGATCTGTAGTTTGAATGCAGCCTGGGCAACTTGGTGACTCAACAAGACCTTGTCTCTTAAATAAAGATTTAAAAGTTGAAGGTGTAGGTCAGTGCAAAAGCTATAGGTTTGATCCCCAGTGCTGCCCACCCCCAAAAATCTGATATCTATCCAGAATATATAAAGACCTCTTTGGAGGGGGTTGGTTTTTAAAACAGTCTCATTATGTAGTTCAGCCTGGCCTTGAACTTCCTAAGCGCTGAGATTACAGGCTTGCATCCTGGTCAAAATATTCTAAATTAGATTGTAGTGATGATCGGTCACAGGACTCTGGATTATACTAAGAAAAACAAAACCTGGGGGTTGAGGTGTGGCTCGGGTAGGGTGTTTACATAGGTGCGAAGGGGCAGGGGTTCCGTCCCCTGCAAGGCCTGGAGGACACCGTCTGTCTCAGGTCTCCGCCAGCTCCGCCGTGTCATATCTTGGGCCACCTGATGCGGCGGATGCAGGGCTGGGGAAGAAGGGGGGTTGGGGCACACCCCTGAGCCACGCCTGGGCTCCACTGTGCCCAGCGCCGCCGTATTCAGGCTCCAGTTTCCACAGCTTTCCACTGTCCGTGTGGCCTGACCTGCAGGGCTGTGGTGGGGCTCGGGAGTGTACTTGCCTCACCTGAGGCAGGTCCTGGCCTCCGTGGCCGTGGCCGGTGTTGCCAAAATAATAACTTAATTCTAAAAAATGTAAACACATGGCCGGGGATTTAGCTCACTGGTGGCTGCACCTGAATCACAAGCCCAAGGTCCCGAGTTTCCTGGCACCCAAAGAAAAAAAATGTAAATAAATGTTTTTGGCAGTGTTGGGTGGGTTGTTTATTTTTTTGTTTTGTTTTTCTTTTGCAGGGCTAGGTACAAGCCCTAGCCTTACATATATACTCTACCACTAAGCTAAATCCCCACGTCCTTTTTTATTTACTTTTTGCTTTTGGTACCGGGGATTAAGCCCAGAGCCTTTGCACTGAACTAAATCCTGAGCGTTTTTTTCTTCTTCTTTTTTGGTACCGGGGATTGAACTCCGGTCCTTGCACTTGCAAGGCAGGCCACCGAACTGCTGAGCTAAATCACCGGCCCAAGGCCCTTGCACTTTCAAGGTGGCGGTGGCACTACTGAGCTAAATCCCTGGTCCTTTATTTGCACTTTAAATGATGATTTATTTCAAGGTCCCAAGTTCAATACCCAGTGTGTGTGGGGGGGTGTGATTTATTTGAGAAACAAAAGGGCAACAGAACATTTTATGAGCCTTTTTACATAATAAAATATAAGTTTAGAGCTGGGTATTTAGCTCAGTGGCACTGCACCTGCCTGGCAAGCACAAGGTCCTGAATTCGATCCCCAGTTCCAAAATAAATAAATAGGGCCAGGGATTTAGCTCAGTGGTTCCACTGCCTCCCTCTTAAGTGCAAGGTCCTGAGTTCAGTACCCTGGTACTACTACTACTACTAATAATAATAATTTAGGGCCTAAATAAATAGAAGTTTTGAAAAAAGTGATCCAGGAGTGGGGGGCCGTCACCTAAGCCCGCCTGGAGTCACTCAGAGCTCACCTTTCCGAGGCACCTGAGCAGTGCAGGCTGATGGTCCCTTCTCTCCTGACCAGGTGGCGACCCGACCCGACCCGACCTGCCAAGCATGAGCTGTGTGCGAGCCGTGCTGCTGGTCCAAAGCCTCGCTAGGGGCCGGGCAGGCATCCGCCGTGCCTCCCACCTGGGAACTCCTTTTCCCCAGGTAACCACGGGCAGGGTGACATTAGCGGGACGCGTGGAGAAAGGCCTGGGGTTCCCCTTCTTCCCCTTCAGTCTCCCCAAAGGAGCCAGCTCGTGTGGGCTTGGGGCCGAGCCTGTCATCCTAATACTCAGGATGCTGAGGCAGGAGGATCACAGTGAGTTCAAATCCAGCCCGGGCTACATAGTGAGACCCTGCCTCAAAAATGTAAAGCCAGGACGGGGGATGTAGCTCAGCAACACGGCATCTGCCTGGCAAGCACAAGGTCCTGAGTTCAATCCTTGGTGCTGCAAAAATAATAAAATAATAATAATAACCCGGCTGGTCTGCACTGAGGTTCGCTGGAGGCTCATTTGTCTTACGGGGTGTCGGCGCCCATACAGGTGAGGCTGTAGTCTGACCTTAAGGACCCAGGTGCTAAGTGGGTAACGGGTGACTGGATCGCTTCTGCTACGCTCGTAAAGATGGATACAGAAAATTGAACTTCCTTCCTGTACCTAGCCCTTGCCTTCCTGTTTTTAATGTCGTTTATTTTCTTTCCCTCTTTTTTTTTTTTTTCTCTTTTTGGTGGTGAGACTGGGCCTCACTGTGTAGCCCAGGGGCCTCACTTGCAGCAGTCCTGTCCTCTGGCCTCAGGCTCCTCAGTGCCGTCTCTCTTCCCTCCGCTCCTTTCCCCTCCCGTCTGCTGTCCTGAAACTTCATTTGGCGCTCACCTTGGCTCACACAGGAAGACCCTGCTCCATGGGTGTGACAGCTCCAGGGGCTGTGTGTCCCATCTCACAGCCATCTGCTCCCCTGGGGTACCTGGGCCATTTCCACTGCCGCCCGTGGGTGCCTTTGTACAAGGGTTCTGGCCCAAGAGCTCCTAAGCCATCAGATCCCAGTACCCATTTGGGGCTGGGGGTGGAGCTCCATGGTACAGGGCTCATCTGGCAGGCACAAGGCGCAGAGCCAGTGGTTCAAGTCCCAGTGATGCCCCCGCCAAGAAACCATAAATATGCCTGTGTAGCAGTATATTGGTGCACAATGGTAATTCCAGTTACTTGGGAGGCTGAGGCAGGAGGAAGATCACAAGTTTAAGACCAGCCTGGACAACTTAGTGAGACCTGTCTCAAAATAGAAAAACAAGGTCAGGGGATATAGCTCAGTGGCAGAGCATCCCTGGGTTTGGTCCCCAGTACCACAAAAAATAAAAATTTTAAAATGCTGGGCATGGTGGCACATGCCTATAATCGGAGCCTTCTGGGAGGCTGAGGCAGGAGTATCACAAGTTTGAGCCCAGCCTGGGCAATTTAGCAACCTCCTGGGTGGCAGTTTTACCTCCTGTTGCCGCCAGTGACTGACAGTGTTGTGTCCTCCACCTGGCAGGGCTGTTTTATCACAGGGTGTCATGGTGTCCAGTCCCGAGTTCTGTAGCCCAGGCTGGCCTTGAATTCACAGCAGTCCTCCTGCCTCAGCCTCCTGAGCGCTGGGATGACAGGCCTGTGCCCCCACTCCCTGTTCCCCAATCTGGGTTTGTAACCACAGCACCCCTTCCTCAAAGGGCCTTGGGGCTGCCAGATGAGCCCTGTACCACAGAGAGCCACCTGGCCCAGGAAGAGCCCACTATGCATCCCCAGGCCCCTGGAGGTCCCGGATTCGAGCAGCGCCCTCTGTCCCCAGGTGCCCCCTCTGGCCCTCCGGAGCCTCCACTGCAGCTCCGCACCCCACACCTCCGAGAAGTCTGAGAAGTCCCTGGTCCCTCGTCCTCCGGAGTCGGGGAAGAGGCTTGCAAAGGTCCCCGCGCCCTGGGAGGACCTGTTCCATCCGGCGCCGGGCGGGACCCGGGACAAGGCCAGCTTCGTGCGGGCCGTGCAGAGCTTCGAGCAGCACAATGTGCACAAACGTGGCCATGTGGACTTCATCTACCTGGCGCTGCGCAAGATGCGCGAGTATGGCGTGGAGCGCGACCTGGCGGCCTACAACCTCCTGCTGGACATCTTCCCCAAGGAGGTTTTCCGGCCACGCAACTTCATCCAGCAGATCTTCCTCCACTACCCGCGGCAGCAGGAGTGCGGCGTGGCCGTGCTGGACCAGATGGAGAGCAACGGTGAGGCCAGTGCTGGGAGCTCCTGGTACCGCTCTGTTGCCGTCTCGCACCCCTTTCCTCACTTTCCTTTTTTTTATTCGTTACTTTGGTTTTTTGAGACAGGACCTTACTACTTAGTTCAGGCTGGCCTCAAACTCACAGCAATCCTCCTGCCTCAGCCTCCCAAGTTCTGGGACTACAGATGTGCACCACATTGGTCTGAATATCTTTTTGTCTCATCTCGCTCGTCTTGCTTTTCTAGGGCTTTTCAAGTTTTCTCCCTCCCTCCCTCTCTCCCTCTCTCCCTCTCTCTCTCTCTCTCTCTCTCTCTCTCTCTCTCTCTCTCACTCACTCACACACACACACACACACACACACACACACACACACACACTGGGGTTAGAACCCAGGGTCTCAACAACTCTAGGCAAATGCTTTGCCCCTGAGCTGCACTCTGTAATTCACTCTCCTGCCTCCCTGTCCCAACTCCCGGCTTCCTGCCCTGAGGCTTTCACCCGTCTCTGTCCAGCGCAGGAGTGATGCCCAACAAGGAGACGAAGTTCCTGCTGCTGCAAATCTTCGGGCGCGGAAGCCACCCCATGCTCAAGTTGGAGCGCATGCGCCTGTGGTTCACCCGCTTCCAACACATTAACCCCTTCCCGGTGCCCCGCGACCTGCCCCACGGTGCCGTGGAGCTGGCCACACTCGGCCTGCAGCACATGGAGCCCGACCTCAGCGCCAGGGTCACCGTGTACCAGGTACCCACACCTGCACTGGCCTCCCACCCAAGCGACTGTGCTAAAGGAGCCCAGACCCACAGAGCCCTCGTGGATCCCTGTAGCCCTGCTCCCCACCACAGCTTGATGCTGTCTGCGCTCTGGATGCTAGCAGAGCATTTGCTGTCACCGGCACAAAGTCTCTGAGACCGGGACTTTATCAAAAGAAGAGCTTCAGCTGGGCTTGGGGGTGCATATCTGTAGACGGCCTCTATATTCCTAGCGCCTGGGAGGCTGAGGCAGGAGGATCGCTGTCAGTTCAAGGACGGCCTGGACTACATAGACCATGTGGACCGCGTCTCAAAAAAAGAAACAAATTTAGCTCAAGCAATCCTATGTATTGTATATATGTTTAACACGGTCACAACAGAGCCCTCACTCATACACCTCGGTGCCAGGTGGCTCTGAACCACCAGCAGCACAGGCAGCACAGGCAGGACTGTCCCCTCAGCTGGTGTGAAAGAGTCCCATCAGGTGATAAGAGTCCTGCATGTACCTCTGAGGGTTCAGGCTGATGGGAACTTGTGAAAAAAAGAAAATGATAGGCTGGGTGTGGTGGCACAAGCCTGTAACCCTCAGGGAGGCTGAGGCAGGAAGATCACCACAGGTTTGAGGCCAGCCTGGACTACATAGTGAGAACCTGTCTGAAAAAACAAACAAAAAGTTTCTCAAGCTGTGATGACAGGTATGTGCCACGACACGATGCCTGGCTTAACAGCCAGGATATTAATGTAGAGCAGGGAGTTTTGTTTGTTTTTGTTGGTGCCAGGGTATGCAACCCAGAACCTTGTGCTTGCTAGGCCAGCGCTTTCCACGGAACTGCATGCCCAGCTCACAGAACCTTTTACACACACGTGCCATGCCCAGCCTTTGCAGTGTTCACTTTTCCATGCCTGGGAGCGGTTGAGCCACCTCTGATCTCCCTAACCTGCAAGGGTGGATGACAGGCATTCCCACAGTTGTCCCGTCCCAGATTTCAGTCACACTTTGTATGCCCTGTAAAAAGTCAGTTTCACCCCCAGTGGGGAATTACACCTATAATCCCAGCTACTCAGCAGACAGAAGCAAGACAGCAAGTTCCAGGCCAACCAGGGAATTTAATGAGACCAGGTGTCAAAACCAGAAACCAGAGGTCAGGGGTTCTGCCACCTGCCTCGCAAGTGCAAGGACCTGAGTTTGATCCCCGGTACCAAAAAGAAAAAAAAAAAAGGGTTGGGGATATAGCTCAGCGGTATAGTACTTGTGCAAGGCTCTGGGTTCAATCTTAGTTCTGTAATGAAAAAAATTCAATTTTATTTTTTAAAAAGTCACATTCAGGGTATAAAAGTTAGGGTACAGGAGAATTCCTTCCCATCTTGAAACACTGTGGTATTTAGCCAGGTGGCGCACACCTGTAATCCCAACAATTAAGAAGCTGAGGCAGAGGATTGCCAAGTGTTCAAGGCCAGCCTGAGCTACATAATGAGACCCCCGTCTGGAAAAACCAAAACACTTATTTGATTCTTGGGTCTCCTTCCTGGGATGTCTGTGGTGTAAAATAATTATTATAGATATATTTTTAATTCAAAGCCCTGGGTGCTTATTCTGTGCTAGGCACTGTTCTAAATACTTTAGTGTCACCTGATGTAAGGGCTATTATTGTCCTCATTTTGCATGTGGAGAAAAAGGCATGCAGATACAGTGACTTGGCCAAGGTACACAGACTGACAGCCAGGATTTTGTTTGTTATTAAGACAGAGTCTCAGGCCGGGGATTTGGCTCAGTGGTTCTGCTGCCTGCCTCAATAGTGAGTTCCAGATCAGTCTCAACTACATAGTGAGACCCTGTCTCAAAAAAAAAAAAAAAAAAAAAAAGACAGGGTCTCACTATGTAGCCCAGACTGACCTCAAACTTGTAGCGATCCTCCTGCCTCAGCCTCCTGAATGCTGCAATTACAAGTGTGTGCCACGACACCTGGCTTAACAGCCAGGATATTAATGTAGAGGGCTGGCTCAAGGGTTCCAGCTATGTGAGCATCTTAAATGTGGCTTTGGCCAGTTCAGACAGAAAGGAGAGGATTGGTTCTGGCGAAGTGCAGGAGACCCAAGAAAGGTCTCTGGGTTTGCAGGTGTCCCTGTCTGTCCCCCTCTCCCCGGCCCCCCTGTAGGAGCTGAGGGTCACAGCTTCTCCCACTTGTCCTCACAGAGGCCACTGCCTGACGACGTGACAGATCCCGGGGATCTCATCCAGCCCCACATCGTAGGTGAGCCCCACCCCGCCCCGGGCAGCCAGGCCTCCAAGTCGGGTGTCCGACACACACACACGCACATGTGTCTCCACCCCAGGAATCCAGAGTCCTGATCAGCAAGACGCCCTGGCCCGCCACAGCCCAGCCCGGCCTCTCTTTGTGGAGGGACCCTTCTCCCTGTGGCTGCGCAACAAGTGTGTCTATTACCACATCCTCAGGGCTGACCTGCTGCCCCCTAAGGAGAAGGTAAGAGCCCAGCGCCTTCCTGGGGTATGGGGTGGACAGAGGCTGCCCGACCCTGGCCCCGACCCTGCCTACTCCGACCTCCCGGGGGCAGGACCTGGAGGAGATCCCGGAGGAGTGGAACCTGCACTACCCGATGAAGCTGGACTTGGACTATGCAAGGAGCGGTTGGGATGACTATGAATTTGACATCGATGAAGGTAAAAAGCAGACGTGCAGGCCTCGAGGTCACCCAGAATGAGTTGCGTCCTCCAGGGTCCCGGGCACAGTTCATAAGCACCCACACGTCTTGTGCCCCAGGCTTGCTCCTTCCCGTCCCCCGCGCCTTACAGAGCAGGACAGGCCCAGCCCTCGGCAGGGGGCGAGGCAGGCAATGGGAGGCAGAGGCAGAAGGCAGAGTATCGGGAAGGGCTAAGCAGAGGGCGCCACCGCTCCCACCGGACAAACCTCTCTCCCCACAGTGGAGGAAGGCCCAGTCTTCGCCATGTGCGTGGCGGGTGCCCATGACCAGGAGACGCTAGCCAAGTGGATCCAAGGCCTGCAGGAGACCAACCCAGCGCTGGCCAGCATCCCAGTGGTCTTCCAGCTGGCTGGGTCCACGGGGGAGCTCCTGACGGCCTCAGGACCAGAGGATCCACGCCAGTCTCAGCGCGAGGGCCGGGAGGAAGACGACCATCTGCAGCGACAGCAGCAGGGCCAGAGTTGAGCCTGTGTGCTGTGGCCCAAGAAGGCCGTGGACTGGTGTGAAAGCGCGAGAAGACCTTTGCGTGCACAGCAAATAAAATTTTTCTGCCTTGGGGTTGCCTTCCCTCCTCTGTAGCTATGTGGCATCCCCTCCCCAGGATCTTGGAGGATCTCCATTGGGTTCCTCCTACTCCCCAGGGTCTACGGGTCCTTCTGCCCTGGTGCTGGGCATAAACTTTATGCTTTCTCCAAACGAAGTTAGAAAATTTAACAAAATGAGGGTGCTGGAGAGAAGAGTCTGCGAGCATGCGCGGCTTCAGTTCCCGAGTCTCCTTTTGGCGCCACGGGGCAGCGAGTCCGTGAGAAATTTCCCAACGGCGCGGAAGATGCGCGCCACTTCCGGTCGGGCTCCTAACAACGGGGGAGGCTGGTAACCAGGGTGGGGGGGATGGCGGAGCGGGCGCCGGAGCCCGAGGCGGAGGCGGAGGCTGAGGCTGAGTCGG